ATGCATCTAACGATGCCGCTGCTCAATTCAAGGAGTCGTTGATCTCATCTGCTTATATGCCCCCAAAGTGACTAGAAGCATAGGAGGTGCACTACGCCATAAAATTTGGTATAGGAGAAGTCATTCGGCATTTTATTAGTATCAGTGACACAGTAAAAAACATAGATGTACTTTGTACCACATATAGCAACAAAAGATGCGACTAAGAAAGCTTGTCCCACTGTCGACAACTTTTATCCAGATGGTACAAGGCATAAAAAGGAATATATTTGTAACGCTGGAAAACGAACATGCTTTTTTTATGCGTGAAGTGATATAATCTTTAGGTAAGTCACAAACGGGATGACAATAAATAAAATGTTCTTTAATTAGGGACATCTAACGTTTCGGACCAAGCTCGGTCCGACTCCAGAGCACAAATATATTTGTAATGTACAATATAAAGTTCCAAGAACCAAGTTCATGCATGTATCACTATCTACCTGGCTTGATATTATCTGACGAAATATCTGTGCACTGTCTGCGTTTGTTGCGATCGTCGCCTCGAGCCGGCCTCTGGTTTATGTTATCCCTGTATTCGCAGATTATCAACGCTTTTCTGTAAGGAGCCGATTACAACGTTGTACGAATTCTACTTCGAAATGTTCATTTCTGAAAGCAGGCCTATCTTTATCTCGTACCTCCACGCTGAGTGCTGGCTTCCTGCCCTACTCAGTCGGCTTTTGGATGTCACGCGAAAATCTCACGGCTGGAAATAATAGTTTATGCTCAATCACTTTATCTAAGACGAACAGTCTACATATACATACTTCAATCTCTACATCTACGGACGTCATCAATGCCGCGAGCTTAAATATCATTCCTCATCTGACCCCATCCATTTGACCTCCACTTTACGTTCAAACCAATCGTGTTAAACAAATAAACAAAATTGCATCTATTCAGCACAAGAAAACTGGCTGACCTGACCAAAGAAACGTGCACAGGACTTTTCGGAAAAAAGTCATTTGACTCCTCGTCCAATGCAGACGCAAGCTTAAAAAAAACACTGCACGCGATCGTCCTATTTAACTCTCGGAGAATGGTGGCGAATAACCAGTCATCCGCTGTTGCTAGTCCCAAATCCGGTTGAAAAATTAGAAGGGCTGGGAACAACGGTGTGGACTCCCGTAAAGCCTGAATATAACTGCAAAAAGTCAGCGATCAGAACCTGCTTCGCGCTATCTGGCAGGACTGGACGTAGCAGTGAGGCGATGGCTGCCAAAGATCGACAAGATAAATCAGCAAATGAGACGCTAACCGTTCCGAACGGAATAGGCAGACAACGAAATACTACTACAGAACGTCTGATAAGGTTCAAAGGGAACGATACCGAGAGTTCGAGCTCATAGTGGGAAATTGTAGCATCTCTTCATAGAGAGGGAAAGAGAGCAAACCAGCCGATGAGACCACAAGGTACCAACTCGACATGGTTATACTCTCATCATCGAAGTGATGGAGCTGTCGAATTCTAAGCCTGTGCCGGTGGAAGCCACTCCACTGAGGCATCGACTAACGACCCACACCCGATTGGCGGTGGTCTTTTGGTACCACCTGACCTGGCTCACATAATCATTTATTGAAAGTCTTACAGCAGGTGTGTAAATCTTATGACTGCAGTTACAACAGGTGAAAGATGTCAGGTAGTTACATGTCTATGCCCCAATTCGGACAGGGAACATTCCTGAAGAAACTGGCAGCGACTCGGTGAAGCAGGTT